GTGGTGTTACCTAACGTCTTCGGACTGGGATGTGCTCAAAAACCCGAAACTGTCGGTGAACCGCAAGATGACGACGATGGTCGAGCGCGCCATGGCCGTCGGTTGCAACGATCCTTCCCAGCATACGTTCAGGTGGGGGACAGCCCTACTAGCAATCACGCACTACGAGACCCCACCAGAGCCAAAAAAACTTTGGGATTTACTGAAAGATTTCAAGGCTTGTTTCAAGTCCGAAAAAAAGACTTCGGATTCTCGCGCATCTTGGAATACCCAGCTTCACCATCGGAGCTCCCAACAGACATCTTCCAGTCCGCCTACCCTGATGATGACCAGCCGATCACGATCGAGCTCAAGGGCATCAACACAGTAGCTGACAGTATATCGTTGCGCTCCAACAATAGCAAGCTGAAGTCGTCCTTTGAACCAGGTGTTAAAGCAAAGTTTCAAGCAGCAAAGGAAGAGCTTGACACCGCCCACAGCCATGACATCGCACCAGCGCCCACAGCCGACGCACGCACCGCATCACCAGCAGGGGCGCTCATCCCATCACCGACTGACCCGTACGAGATGGGTTTGTTCTACGAGTACCAGCACAAGTTGCTCGAGTACCGCAAAGAGAAAAGCCAATCGGCTGCGCGGGGCCCTGAATCACCTCCCGTGAAAGAAGAGCCACGAGCCAGCTTGGCTGTCCACCGAGCTCCTGATGGGACGCTGAAGGTTGCCAAGCATGAGCCGTCTGCCAAGCGTGAGCTCGAAACCCCTAAACGTGAGGAGCAGGGCGCTATAAAGGCTGAGAAGCATGAACCCGAGGGCGATGCGGAGCACGACGCCGCCGATGATGACGACGGGCCGTGCTTAGAGGACTTGGACCCCCACACCCGTGCTGCGATCGAGGCCCTCAAGAAGCGCAAGGGCAAGCAGAAGGAGGAAGCGAAGGCGAAAGCCGCAGCTAAGAAGGAAGCTGCGAAAGCAGCTGCAGAGAAGGACGCTGAGGTCAAGACTGAGGCGCCAGCACGGAAGCGCCCAGCAGCAGCCGCTGCTTCCATTAAGCCCGCCAAGGCTGTAAAGACCGAGCCTGCCGCGGCTGCAAAGGGTGTGAAGAAGCCCCATGCGGCTACTGCCGACTTGAAGCCGATCCCGAAGTCAAAGATCATGAGCGCAATGCCGTCGATGCCAAAGGACGGTTCGAACCCACCGCCAGTGGTCTACAAGCAGGGCATAATCTACACGAGCCGCAAAGCTTTTCGCTCCCGTGCTCTCAGAGAGCGTGGCAATTCATTATGTTTAGCGAACTACCGCCAGCCATCGCACCGCTTCGTCGAGATTGGCTGCCCCCCTCACCCCTTCCCCCGCCGACCCCCCCTCCCTCCCCGCGCCCGAACAGTTTCATGTTATTATGCGTTGGGTGTCTTGGGTACGTCCTCCTCCTACTCCTACTCCTCCTCATCACCATCATCCCTCTTCGTAGTGGTGGAAACACTCAGGCTGTTTTGAATGTGTTTTGACCTTATCCTCCTCCGCCTCCCCCCCCCCCTCCTCCTCCTTATCATCCTTCCTCCTCCCCCCTCCGTCCTCCCTCGCTCCTTCCTCCCTCGCTCCCTCCTTCCTCGCCCCCTCCACCTCTTAAGTGTCTCCCTCCTCCTCCTCCTTCTTCCTCTTGCTCCTCCTCCATCTCCCTCCTCCTCCTCCTCCTGGCTCCCCCTCATCCTAGCTCCTCCTCGTCCTCCCCAATCCTCGCCTCATGTGTCCATCGTTCGTCTTGGGATCGGGGGCCGCCAGGGCCATGAGCGAGCGGGAATGGTGGCGAGGGTAACAGAGTATCTCGCAGAACGCGCCTAAAGCCTCATGGGCTGGTCGGGCTACTACACCGAGAGCTCCAAGGGCTGGGGGGGGCCTAAGCCGACCGCTGAGGCGTGGGCTGCAGCCGTCAAGGCGATCGACGACGCTGGGGGGAAGTCCTGAGACTGTAATTGTTGCACTATCATAAATATAGCCAGGCTTTTCGCAGAACATACAAGCACTGCGTGCTAAGTTTCGGCTGACACCTGGCTCTCGAGAACGGGCTGTCAGTCTGGAGGGGCGTGTCAAGAAGGAATGTATGTTTCTCGCTTCGTCGATTGCGCGCCCTCGTTCTGGAGCGCGCGCTGGCGTCTCCGTCCGTAGCCCATTTCGCTCAGACCTCGGGCTTTGCAGCGTCTGCCGCAGTTTCGGATGCAGCCGCCGCGGGCTGCTAAGCTGCGCAGGCTTAATGAGTTCCGTCGCTCCAAGCCTCACTGTACGGGTTCTGCTTTAGCGGCAATTCTGGCGGACGTGAGGGACAATGGGCTCCCAGAAGTCATAGATCGGAATTCCATGCGTGCCGCGGGGGATGCTGTTACCACAACTGTCGGCCAGTACGGCCCTATAGTACAAATCTTTACGTGCGTTGATGCAGAGGAAGAACCAGCTAGCATACCCATCGCCTGCCCGTTCGCATCCTTAGCGGCAGCTGTCGAAGAGAGCGCGAATTTTCGGAAGTTTTTGAAGCGCCAGCTGATGCTTCACCCATCGACGCCCGAAAAGCCATGGAACTTGATTTTGTATTCTGACGAAGTCACACCAGGGAACCCCTTATCACCAGCCAACCAGCGAAAATTCCAATCTATTTATTGGAGCTTCTTGGAATTCGGCGTGAGCGCGCTCAGTCACGAGGAGAGCTGGTTTGTGCTGATGACTGAATTCTCCTGTTCTGTGAATTCCCTCTCTGCTGGGTTAAGCCAAGCATTCGCCGAGGCTATTAAATGTTTTTTTCAAGCCTGATGGCTTTCATTTCCAAAACGGTGGAATGACCCTTGACTTAGACGGGGATAGCTTCAGGCTGTTTGCTAAAGTCGGCGTGGTGTTGCAAGACGGGGGCGCTCATAAAGCTGTTTGGCAAGCAAGGGGCGACGGCGCGTCCAAGTATTGTATGCTTTGTAAGAATATGTTCACAGCCGACTCAAGGGTTGTTGACGAAGATGGCTCAGCCATGCTGCGTTGCAACGAAATTCATCTCGATGAGCTCGTGGCGTCCACTGACCATGAGCTTCGCACCAATGCCAGGTATCTGGAGCGCATGTCGCGGACTCTGTCTAATGAAGAGTTCGTTCTGTTGCAGCAAGCGCTGGGTTTAACATTTGCCAAACGAGGCTTGCTGCTCGATAGAGCCTTAGACAGGCTGAACAACCCAACAGAGGTGTTTATGCATGACTACATGCACGCGCTGTTCGTCGACGGTGTTGTGAATCTCGTGATCTACCTAACTTTCGAAGAGTTCATATCTGCTGGGCTTAATGGCGTATGGGAGTCATTCTCTGAGTTCTTGGCAACTTGGGTGTTCCCTGGAAGATTTCACGCTACGCATTTAGACAGCATTTTCAATGCTGATCGGAAAGATAAGCACAGAAAGGCCCAACACGTAAAATGCCAGGCGTCTGATTTATTGTCTATTCTTGGCGTTCTGATGCTATTCACTCAGACGGTCCTGCGACCTATGGGGGCAGCCAATGCAGCTTGCGACGCTATGATAGCTTGCGTTCAGCTGTCGCAGCTGGTAGTTGCAACCAGTCGGATCGACGTGAGCCCAGCGAGGCTTCTAGGTTGCGTTCATAAGTTCTTGGAATATTTCACTGCTGCTTTTGGATATGAGTCCCTGACACCAAAATGCCATTGGCTTCTCCACCTCCCTGAGCTACTCGAAAGAAACGGGAGGCTCTTGAACTGCTTCGTCCTTGAGAGGAAGCATAGAATGCCAAAGAGATACGCCACCGAACTGGCGAACATCTCTGGGTCAGCCAGCAAGTCGTTGCTGAGCGAATGCGTTGCCCATCACCTGTCAGCAATAACGAGCCACAGTTTCAATTATGGCGTCGGCTTGTTGCAGGGCCGCAAGGCGCCCAAGAAGAGCAGGCAGCTGATCTTGGACGCATTGGGTTTGGAAGGTGATGATATCCAAGTGAATGTGGGTAAAGATTCTCGCTTTAGCCAGCTCGGCTTATGCGCGCAAGGGGACGTTGTGCTTTTGAACGGCTCCGACGGCATACTTGCCGCCCGCGTGAAGTTGCATTTCGAGGTCAATGGAGAAGCTGTTTCTATGATGGAGGTTATGGAACTTTCGCGGCGCATCCCTGGTACTGCAAAGGCAGTGTGGAAACTTTCTGCGACTCCAGTGGAGTGTTGGGAGACCAAAGCCATTTTGGCTGCAGTAGAACACTGCGCGTACGCATACGGCACCGTCGGCACTATCCTGCCATTGGAGTTTTCATGATGGGATTTGCTGGCGCTTTGCGCTCAGGAGAAAAAATCGCATACGCTTCGCGTAGCCCCACCGCACAGCCCATCCAGAAACGATGTCTGCGCATTAAAGCCATTGCGGCTGAATGCAGATGAGAAGTGAGGGGTGGTGGGTCTTCTGCTCCGCTCCTCCTCCTCCTCATCATCATCATCCTTCTTGCTCCTTCTGCATCCTCCTCCTGCAGGCGCCTGCTGCTGCTGTCCTCCTCCTCCACCCCAAAGCGGCATGCTGAAACCGCGGGGCCCTGACGACGACCACGACGACAGATGGAGATGCAGAGACGACATTCGGCGGCGGACCTGGTGCTACGCGCCCGCCCCTATGTATGCGGTGTAACCTATGTGGATGCAACCTATGTGGTGTATTATGTGCTATGGTACAACCTATGTGGCGCATGCTAAGCGGTGCAACAACTTATGTAGTATGCGGTGCATCCTACGCGGTGCAACCTGCGTAGTGCAAGCTGCTGCGAGAAGTAACACAAGAACTTCTGATAGCATCGCATTTTTATGGCTTGTTAAAGCGAACGCTAAAGTTTATAAAGTTTATAACTCTGTTTTGGATAACTGCTGATAAACTTTATAAGTCCGCTAAACTTTAGCTAAACACTATAAACCTTAACAAACCAAGGATGCATCTCAGTGGGGGTCGACGTTGCGAAAAAATCACGACGTCGGGGGGTCTGGGCCTGGCTCCTCGTGCAGCGACGACAGCACGCTGGAGGCCGACGGCACCCGCAGCATGCCCGAGGACGCGCGCCCCGTCGGCAGCTGCTGGCGGCCGGCCCCGGCGGCGTCGCCGGAGGCCGCCGCGGGGCTGCGGCCGCGCGGCATTGCCACCGGGAGGGGGAGGAGGGGGAGGAGGAGGAGGAGGAGGAG